CAACTTTGAGCTAACAATTTGGGATCACATGATTGACACCACTGATAATTAGTATTATATCTTGCACAAACAGAACAAAAATATGCGTGGTCACGTGATTTACAGAACGCCCGAGGTCGTCATTATTTGACTCATTTTAGTTTTTTTGGGCTATTTGTGGTATGCCAAAGACACAGTTGGATAAAGTTTATTCGTTTATTTGAAAGACTTGTTGCGTATTTCCATACCATCCTAAACTTTTTCAAAATATAAGGATGTTTTCATTGCGCACCAACGGAATTTGTTTTTCGGTTTTTTCCCCGTTTCACAATAGACCGAATCTCATAAAACCACCATGCCAATATCCTATGATCATATTTTTGAAATTGTTGTTCCGCTTTGAAATTTGAGAGTATGTATATTATCTTTTCGACTGTATGTATGATTTATTTTAACGTTGACTTGTCAATTTCCCTCACACACAAAACGGATTGTTGAAAAATTCCGAACACGATAATTTGTTCGGAAAAAGCAAGCAGACTTACCGGTAGTATTCTGGCACATTCTCTTACTAAAAGCATTAAAGAAGCTCGCTCGGAAAGTTGTCTGAAAAAAAAACTAGATTTAGGTTATAGGAAGTATTTTTATTTTTATATTACATCCATCTAAATTTAAATTTGCGTCTCATATCAATTCCTTGAATTCTTTTACCACTAAAAAACTAATTAGATACCTATCATTACTATAATTTGGGTGATTGAAATATCATAATGTTTTTATTTTTGAAGATTATAAAAATTTAAAAATTTTTTTAAGTTATTGGTTTTATTAATAAATAAAAAAATAATAACAGTATATTATTTAAAAATATGTGTAATTAATTATTTTTACTCTTTAATTTTAAATAATTTTTTCTATTTATCTAATAATGTCGCCTTTATATGATTTTTGTTATTTATTACTTTTTGCAAACTTTTTCTTTTTTAAAGTACTGGTTGAGATGTTTGAATGATGACTTCCTGCCGTTCTTATTTGCATTGCAGAAGTGGCTGTTGAAGTGGTTGGTGTACTTATCGTTGAAGATGAAGAAGAAGAAGAAGATGCTGAAATCGTTGGTTTTGGTGCTATACCTTTTCGCTTATCTTGTTTCTGTAATAATGCCATTTTAGCCTATACATACATGTACAGATTTTTAGTTGATTTTATGATTAGGAAAGAAAAATGGGAGAAATAATGTAAATTTAATGTAGCACAAACATTATGAACAGCATTTGACGTTAAATCTTTAAGCAGTTGTTCAGTTTCCTTAGTTCGAGGATGATCAGGTCCAAACTAATAAATTAAAAATTATTATTAAATGTTTACATAGAAACAAAAACAAAAAAAAACATAATAAATATCTACCACAGTGTGAAAAATATTATATGCTGATTTTTCTGCAGTCAAAGCTGCTTTATAATCTTCAGAAAGTGCTAAAGCTTTCGCTAGGAGATGGTATCTACATCACAAATAGAATAAAATGATTAAATAAATGATTTGATGGAGTTTTTAAAAATCATTTTCTTTTTATCGACTTACGATTCACCAGTTAAAACATTATTTTTTCCAAAGATAGTTTCATTTGTTTCTTTGGCTCTTTCGAAAAACCTTATACTACCACCAAAATCTTTTAAATTTTGTAACATAATTCCGACGTTATGCTATGTACACAAATTGCAAAATATCAAAATATATATTTAAATGATACGTATATATTTTTTATATATATTCTACAAAAAATTGTTTTTTTCTTACATCAGCGGTTGCGCCATCCGGGTGTGAAGGTCCATATATAATTTCCCAATAAAACATTGCATGCTTCATGTAACGAAGACCGATTTCGGTATGACCAATAGCATTTTCAAAAAGACCTAAATGTAACTATTGAAATAACCTTATTTGAATAATGCACTTTCTTTTAGGAACCCATCCATTCAAAAACTATTATTATATCTGCATAACTTACATAAGCATGCACTGCTTCTACACTGTCAGTACCACAAGTTCGCTCCAATACAACAACGGCCTTCTTTTGAAAATCTATCGCAATTTCTAAATCTTCATGATGATAAAAATACATCGCTAATGCAACGTAACACTTTGCCGTTGCTGGATGAAGAAAACCATAACTTTGTTCATGTAATGCAAGTGATTGTAACATTAGATCCACGCCTAAATCTCGATGACCTAACATATAATTTTTATGATAATTAACATTCTACGTATCAAATAAAATCAAAATCTTAATAATTATAAATCAAAATAAAATACCTTGAGCAATACTTAATTTTCCAGCTTCAAAAGTCTCCTCGGCAAAAATACACTACAAAAAATGAAAAATAATAAATAAAAAATTCCAGCCGGATCAAATCAAGGCAATAATAATAAAGTAATAAGTAATAAGTGGACTGTTTACTTTAGGAGTTGCTTGTTTGACAACAGGTATTATATTGAAGATATCATCTGGTAAGAATGTGGTTGCTCTTTTTTTTGATTTCTTTTTTACAAAATGATAACCTTGAGCTGCTATTTGAACTCCTACTCGTAAACATATTTCTCTCAGTAATGGAAGTTTGCGAATGTGTGTAGAAACAAAATCTTCAGGAAGTTTATATCGAAAACGTACTAACACCGTACTATGAATTTGTTGAACGAGTGAAGAGGGTGTGAGATTTAAGTATGCATATGATTGAGTATTATCGGCTTTATTCTTGATATTTTTATTCTTTTTTTTTTTACTGTTGAGAGGACTGGGGAGTTTACCCATTAAGGTGAATGTAGCTGTTGTATCACTAGAGAATCTGAAAGATGATTATATTAATTTGTTTTTTTATACAAATCAGTTATAATCATAAATAATGATGACTAAATGATTTAATCAAAACCATTTACCTTAAGCTTAATTGAGGAGACCAGGCAGGGAAAGTTGATTGAAAGTAACTTAGATTTAAGTATAGGCCTGGTGCTGGCATATGCTTTCAATATTAAAAATAAAGTTTTTATTTTTAAATTATTTTACCAGATGCTTTTTAATCCAAACATGTATGCCTATTTTATCCAAATCATCCTCAAGATATATTTCTTACAAAGCTGGTCATGCAACAGCATGAATAGCTTGTTTTGATCTAGTGATATCTTTATGAGCTGCTTTTCCGCTTGCTCCACAAATAAAGCTTCTATATCTTTGACTGCATATTTTATTTTTATGCCTGGCATTAGTTACAGCCTAATTCTAACATTTCTTTTATCATTCCTTCTAATCTTATTTACATCACTAGGACTATTCATTGGATACAAATTAAATTTTTGTTGAAAATTTATTGAATGTGAATAAAAACATTGCCAATTTATCTCAAGATTATATTTTTAGAACCAAATAAACATTCCAACATAGGAGCAAACATGAAACTCTGAATTGAGGCAAAAGAATGATATATGTTCTTACGTTATTTTTATGTTCCATAAGATAAAAAAATGTCTAATTCTTGAGGTGATTTCAAAGTCATGCCATTTGTATCTACAGTATTAGGTGTTTTCATTTACAATTTATTGAAAACGTATCATAATGAAATAAGACTACATATGATTTTTATTTTTAACCTTATTTATACACAAACAACTACCTCGTTGTTATGCTTTTTGCGTTTGTAGAGTCAATGTTACTTGTTCATCTGATCTAATTTAGTAACAATAATGATCTATTTTATTGTATAAATAAAATTTGCTCTACAGAAAATTCTATAGTGGCTTGGTGTCAAGATGTGTCTGCTAAAAAAAGAACTTTAAAAATGGTTTTTGGGTTCCTTAATTTTGAAACATTGGATTAGTATATATAATTTAATTTTTAATAATTAACATCATTATCTTCTAAATAAAATATTCATTTATGAATTTCGTATTTTTGCATTTTTGCTGAGTACTTTGAAGTAAGGAAGCAACCAGATGGTTAAGGACAAGAAGAGGAAGGGTGATTATTGTATTGAAGAGATGGACAATAAATAGTCTTGCACCCTTGTCATTTTTAAGTCAAATTAAAAAATATAATTATGATTGTTGTTGTTTGGACCTTGTAAATGTTACAACTCTGTTTTTCCACATATTGTATCATAATCTGTCAACAAGATGATTAAATAATCAATCTTTGATCCACGTTGTAATATTTGTGGTTTACATAACCTGTTACTTGTCTGTCTTTTCAGATTAATGTCTTCAAATTTAGTTGACTGATTAATTATAAAAAAAAAATTTTGTTATTTTCTTTTCTGTATATAAAATTCAAAGTGATAATAGTTCTTGTCTCATAGTCTTACATAAAACTTAATCATATAATAATTTAAGTAAATTAGTTCTCAATAATATATCAATATAATATTTCCAGACCAAAGGCATGAATAAATTACGTGAAGTAAAAAAGGAGTTATGTTTGGAACTATTTTTAACAAGATGGCAATGTTGTCAAGTAATGATAAAATGGAGGTAAAGAAGATGTATAATTGGAATCATGTATAACACCTCTGAAATGTATCATTTAAATGCAGGAAAATAACGTCACTAATAAGCATACCAATTTAAAACCTAACATAGTTAAAAAAAAATGATGTTTTTAAAGCAAAGTAACAATTTTTAATTTTAATGATTCATTTTTGAATTTTGTTTTTATCTTTGTTGTATAAAATCCAAGATTCCCTGTCTCATCCACAAAGAATCTTTTAGAAATACTAAAAAAAAAGAAAATCAAGCAAGATAACTGCACAGTTGTATGTATCTATATTAAAAAGAAAGCCAATATATAATCAACAAATGTAGTCGTGGCATAAAACTGTCAATTAGAAAATGATCATTCATGCCTTACTTTATTCTTCAATCACACTCGTCTTGTCATTTAATGGCATGTCATCACCGCTTTCTTCGCCTTCCAGTTTGACAGGGTCAATTTTACAGAAGCCAAACTCTCTTCTATAATCGGATTCATCTCGGCTTTCTCCAAAGTGTATTTCCCTCGAGCTTCTTTCAAAATACTTGTTATCAGCTTCTTGGATAATTTCAGAGTCTTTGTATAGGCTCATTGCTTCTTTTTTCATTGCTTCTTTAGCGAGTTTCATGGAGACAAAGCAGCGAGACTCGTGCCAATTCTCACAGGCTTTGTACGGGGAAAAAAATATCGTCAAGACCCAGATTATGGTGGCCTTCTTAGCTGGAAATCAAGAAAAAAGAAAAAATATTCAGGCCAGTTGGTCACACAAATACAAAGACAATTTAACTACCTTCGACTTTTGAGGTTTCTGTCTTCAACATTTGGATTATCCTTTGTTGCTTGAGATTGGTGACAATTGCAGTGGTGGAACTTTGCAATCTAAAATTTATTTTAAATTTTTTTTTGATCAAGAGTAAAAGGAAAAGAAAATGATGCAATTTTAGATATTGTTGAATCGTGTGAATTTGAAATTTATAATTAAAAATTTTTGGGGGTGGAGTGTTTGATACAAAATTTTGATTGGCTAATTTAGGTTCACACGCGTGAATTTCAATATATATATTAATATATAGTTATTAACTAAATTAATATTATTATTTTTAATGACTGCTTTCCAACTATTCCTGACTAGAGGCCTGCGTGGGTAATAATAATTGAAACCGATACTCGCATGGTATCAAAATTTTATTATTATACCAACCAAACCCAGATTATAGAAAATGGTTTTTTATTTAATTAAATGCACAAAATAAAGTATAATTGTTATTTGAGAGCACTACATATGACGAGTATGCTATCAACTGTTTCTAGATTAAATTTGAATCAATGTTCATTTATTGTTAACCGGCTGCACTGAAATCCCATTTACAGACTGTACTTGAGGCGGGAATTGATAAATAATAGGAACATGATATTGTTAGTTTTGGATATTCATTTGGATGGGGTTTCCATCATTCTAAAATATCTAAATTCAATTCATTAAACAAATATTGATCAATTTCATTTTTTTTTCAGTTTCACCATCATCGAGCCGCAAAATCTACTAAACCAATATTAAATCTTTTTTTTTTTAACGGATCTTATATAACTTCTTTATGTAAACCATAATCAGCACTATTTTTATTACTAGCAAGTTGGGGATGAAAGGATATCATGCTGATATCTTTTTTGTTTTTTCCAGATTTTCAACTGCTACATCTCTGGATCAAATAATAAAGCCAATTAATGTGAATCATAAATTTCAATTTTTCTGATATTTTTGTTTAACCATCGATTTGAAATTTCACTGCCTAATGAAGATATTCACAATGAGCAAAAAGAGTTTTATACCAAGGGAGTAAGCAAGCACAAGAAGTTGTTAATACAGTATTAATTCTAAAATAGAAAAAAAAATCAATTCTAATTTTTTTATATAAAATTTATTTATGGGATACACGGTAAATGATTTCTAAAAACTGCAACAAATTAAAGGCAGAGTCTGTACCAAAATAAATATATCTGACTAATGATGTATGACGAAACTTTTGACATTAGTCATTGATGACGTAACTAAAGTATTGACTAAAGTTAGTTTCTCACCAGGAACATTTTGACGATTGACTAAAGGAAAAACCCTTGAGTAAATAGAATCACTTGATGTAAATAAAGCCACTTGATGTAAGTAATAACATTCTATAAAATTTTATGTTACACGATTTCTATATTAATAATATATACAGTTCATTCTTCCGATAACGTACTTGTGTTTGCTAAGGTGTTTATTATAGAGAGAGAAATTTAATTATAAAAAAAAAAAGAATCAGAGACAACATGGAAGTGTTCATTACAGAGAAAGTGAACTGTAGTATCTAATGAACATAACAGTGCTTCTTGACTAGTATATATTAAAGCTTCAGTTTTCGTGGCTATATAAACTTGGACTAACATAGGCACCCTAAATCACATTATATTATAACTAAAAAAATAAACAATTGTGAGTATTTAGTCGCAATATCAATAAAAACATTGTGTTTTATCAATAATCTACATAATAGGTATTGGCTTTTGATGCCAAATTGAAGGGAATATATGCTATTTTGTGAGATTTCGTATTTTATTAGCCTTTAAAACAATATTGCTTACGTTAAGAGTTTTTGACTTGTGTCATTCTTGACTCAATGGCATTGAATTTGACGTGATAGTTTTACAACTTATTTCACCAAACATCATATAGAATATTGTTTTTTTGAATAATGGCCCAGATTAGCTATAAAAATGACTGTAACAACAACAACAATAATTTAAGATCTCCTGGCAATGGTTGAAACAAAGAATCTACTAAAGAAAATCACTGAACGTTTACAACTGGTGATTGTAATATTAAAATGCATATTCTTCTCAGAAATGTGACATACCATCAATTCTTATTATTGTAATGTTCAGTAGAATTTTACTTTCAAACCGCAGAAAACAATGTTCTCAATACTCATCACAATGTACTCGGCAACATTGTCAATGATTTAGACAGAATTTCGTCTGATTGCTATAAATAGCAAGCAATTGAACAAATTTCTAATTTTTATGACAAAGATATAAAGATGGCGTTATTTTGAATTCTCTATCTACGTGATTACAAATTATTTTCCTTTCATAAATACATTAAAAAATTAAAAAATACTACTTTTATATAAATAAGTACCACACATAAACATCACTGGATATGAATTGGTTGACCGAATATCAATGGATTGAATTCAACTATCACTTTTTAATATATTGTTAATTACTAAACTCAGCAGCAAAACCAACAGTCTCTTTAGAAAAGAATTCATAGTTATAGAGATGTTATCTCGAAAGACATGAACCTAGTAAATTTAGGCAGGATCAGAAGAAAATTTATGATATAATCATAACTACAATATTATCGAAAGTCAAGAAAATAAAAGTAAATATCAATAATAGTAATTATAATGAAATTTTATAAAAAATACAATAATTCAATTCAAAATTATTTACTTTCTCCCTTCACTTCCTCTTCCTTTTTCTTCTATTGGTGATAATTTTAAAACTTCAAATATTGACATATCAAGAACACCATGACAGAAATATAGGATCATCAAAATTTCCAAATTATAAAAATGCGTGTTGCGGGGATAAATAAAGATTTAATATCATCGTACGTATATTGAAATGATGCATAAAGGATAATTATCACGTGGAATTTTACAAAATGTTATGTTTTAAATTTATTTGATTAATTTGTATAGAAACTATTTACTATTACTATTATTATTATGTTAGTCGTAACGAACGTAAAGAGGGTCATAGATAGTGTAACTGACAAATGTAAAGAAAGTAACTGCAACGGGAGAACAAGACATGTATCTAGGTATGTTCATGCAACGAGTTACATTTTTGAAAATTAGACAAGGGAAAAAAATACAAGGATAATAATAAATTTAATTATTCGGAAAAGAAGGATTGTTTAGTGATTCGATTTGATAAACTAGTAGATTACAACTTTGGGTCTGCTATTATCTTCAGATAATTAGGCCAGTAGGTATGATTTTAGTGTCATATATATGACAAATCGGTTTTTACGACTTTCGAGGATTAGACTGTATATATACTTGACATTTTAATTTATATCTTGATTAGTTTTATGGAATAAAATTATTTAATTCAACATCCAACTGCGATGGGCATTAAATATCGGACATTCTAAATTGTTAAGCAACCCGTTGAACTAATTAAAAAAATTCTCCATATATTTTCTTTTCAAAATAAAAATGCATCTTCTCCTTTACAAATTAAAAAATATCACTTATATTCATAGGATGAAAAAAAAATCAAATCGTGTTTGAATTGTTTTTATATAGTGTCTGAGTCTGAAACATACAAATGCGGTCAGCATTAATATGTAGAGCAACTTTTACATGCACATGAACTTGATTTTTTTTTTCGAATTTTGACTTTGAAGCTAACGTAATAGCAATACACAATAATATTATTAATAGAACAAAAATGTGATTGAGCTGTCTTTAGTATATGACTTTGAAACAACATAGGCTGATCAATGTTACTACGTAGAACAGGTTTTGGTACAGATTTTGTAAGTTTTAATTTTGATAAGAATGCCGAAATTCTTTTATTGTCGAGTCACGATAAATAAATCATTAGAGTTTGGTGATGATGAAGTTGTTCTTTAAATAATGCGATTTTCATTTTTCTTATGAGAAAAATTTAAAAAACCCATTAAATGATTTGAAATTTATACACGGACGTGAAACTTAAATTAGCCAATCGGAAATTTTGCATTCAAATGACAAATTTGAAAAAAATTTTGTTATACTCCATTCAAAAAAGAAATCTTCATTCTATTCATTAAAATCACCAAGCCAATTTTATATTTTATATTTTATATAATGTCATATGCTAAACTATTATCATCATTATCACCAGAAAGAAGGGAATTTGTATATATAATTCATCATGGTATGGATGATAATGCTTGGGTTAGTTCTAATATAGAAAGTGGAAAAGATTATTTTTTTTCATTTGTCAAAAAAAACAAGAAGCCTTCTCAAAATGAAAAAGAATATTGCAAGGAACTGTTTACTCATGAGTTTGAATTAAAAAAAAGCAATTTATAAATGGTGCAAACCAAAAGAATGTAACAAGTGCAAATCGACAAGATACTCTGATAGATACTGTGAAAGTTGCATTAGTTTACAATTGCAGAGCACTGCTTTGACATCTGGAAATAACATAATTGATCTTTTTATTCAACAATGTCAAATGAAATCATCCCTGCCAGGATATATTTTAGAATGGATACCTTTTGAGCAATTTGAAGATATAAACAAAGTTAACTGAAGGTGAATTTAGTTCAATTTTTACTGCTGCATGGGCTCTAAATGTTGATTTAACAAATGTATATAAAAATTTCATTAATTACAATATTACTAACGATATTATTTAATCAAAATTGGGTTCTAGTGCTAGTAATTTAATCTCCACTATAATTATTTATCCTTTTATTTTGTCTTTATTTTACTTCTTATAATGATACTGTAAAGTCTGGAAAGATAGCACCCCTACTTTAAAACAATTGAGCGTCAATATAAAAAAAATGTTACACATATGTAGAAAGGGGATGCTACCTTTCCAGACTTTACGGTAATAAATTCTCCAATCTTTTGATTCTTGTCAAAGAAAATAAAGAACATTTTTTTATTTTTATTTTTGTTTATTAACAATTTTTAAAGATTTATTTATTTAATTAAAGTGGGACGTTTTGTCACTCTAAAATCAAAAAACGATTTATTATTAATTAATTTTCTTATGATTATTATAATGATGTCGATCCTTTCCGTTTATTTTCCGATACGTGCCTAAAAGTAAATAACCATTTGCATTTTCTTTCTTTTTTCTCTGTTTTTTTGTTATTTGTTGTCGTTACATTATTCACTTTATGTATGATACACGACACAGCCCATTAATGATCAACAATCAATTTCTTGTTTAATTAACATTAAATCGATTATTTAAAGTATCCATTTATCTGTGATTGCGAAGAATAACCAAAATTCTTAAAAAAAAACCAAAATTTGCTAAGAATTAACTGAACAAATCAAAATGAAATTCAACATTTCTCTTCTCTTTTTGACTATCTTTGCAGTTATTGCTTTAGCAAACCCGATCGATGATAACAATAATTTGGAGAAGCGAGGTATTTCATTTAGCTATTGCAATAAATATCATTGTTTTTGAAAAAATACTAACTATTGGGTTTCGTTTGATTTTAAATAATAAATAGTTCCGTAAGTATTTTTGTACTATTATTGCAGTCAATATCATTGTTTTAAAAATATATTAATTATTGACTTTCATTTTATTTTAAATAATAAATAGATTGGTAAGTTACTATTATTACAGTCAATAACATTGTTTTTGAAAACATATTAATTGTTGATTGTTTTTTGTTTTTATTTTAAATAATGAATAGCCTGTAAGTATTTTCATCATTACTATCATTACAGTCAATATCATTGTTTTTGAAA